GGATGCTTGGCTTGTCTCAGTCTAGGTACATAGAAATCATTGTCAAAAGGTTTGGCATGGAAAATTCCAAGAGAGGTCTCATACCGATGAGACATGGGATATCGCTTTCTACGAGTATGTCCCCAAAGACTCCAGAAGAAAGGGCGAACATGGATATGATACCTTATGCCTCAACAATAGGGTCTATCATGTATGTCATGCTATGTACTAGGCCTGATATAGCGCATGCTCTGAGTGTCACGAGCAAGTATCAGGCGGATCCAGGCTTGGAGCACTGGAAAGCAGTAAAGTGTATCCTTAAATACTTGAGAAGAACTAAGGATCTTTTACTAGTATATGGAGATAGTAGCCTTACGGTTGAAGGCTACGCAGACTCATGTTTTCAGTCTGATGTCGATGATAGCAAGTCGAATTCGGGGTACGTGTACACCTTGAATGGAGGAGCAGTGTGTTGGAAGAGTTCCAAGCAAGATACTACTACTAACTCGACCACAGAGGCGGAGTACATTTCTACATCAGATGTAGTAAAGGAGGGAGTCTAGGTGAAGAAGTTCATCACAGATTTGGGAGTCGTGCCGGGTAGCGAGAAGCCGACTTCCTTATATTACGACAACTATGGGGTGATTACTTAAATAACAGAACCCAGATCTCATCAGAAGTATTCTGAGGAGGTTCCAGCTTATCAAAGAGATCGTAACCCGAGGAGATGTAGTAGTGGAAAGAGTTCCATCCGAAGATAACATTGTAGATCCATTGACAAAATCGTTGTCACAAATTATCTTTGAGCATTACAGGGGTCTGATGGGGATCAGACACATAGGTGATTGGCTTTAAGTCAAGTGAGAGATTGCTAGTCATAGGTGCCCAGCAAGCCAATCACGTGAGTGATGGCACGTGTGACTTGATAAATAATCTTTTTGCTTATTATATTTTGGCATATATCACTTTATAACTATTGCATATATATATATATATATATATATATATATATATATATAGTGATGTCTTTGGATTTGTGCAATGGGAATCGAATCGTGATGAGATCACAAAAATGAGATCGATTCACCTTTAAACACATATCCTAAATAATCCAGTACAGGTGCTCATTAGAGAATGAGTTCACTTATTGATCCGCTTACGGAATGTTGGATGGTTGATGATGCCTTATTATCAGACAGCGATTCCGTAGTCCTAGCAGTATATCTGGTCCTTAGACTTGAGACACCAAGGATGTCCTGTATGAGTGCTCCACTCTTTGATACCAGACTTATAGGTTTGACTGTCCCAGATCTAGTACAGCTGGTCATTGGGAGTGGTAGTCGACCTTACGAGGGCTATTGAGTGTCGATAGAGGATCATTCACTCTTGACGTCATGAGAGGAATATCCCATGTATTCTTGCTTAGACAAATCCCTAGCCAGGGTCATTCGGGTTGAGAGAGAAAGAGTTCTCCGGGAGAATCCGATTAGAGCGAGACTCGAGTAGAAACCGTATAGGTCTGACAGCACAATGCTCGATATACGGTCTCTGGGATATTAGATAGATGAGGGACTATAGGTACATGGTAACTGAGGACAGACAGGTCCAATGGATTGGATTCCCCTGTATCGTCTGGGGACTACGACGTAGTGGCCTAGTACGTCCGTAGTCGATGAGTCGAGTGAATTATTACAGAGATAATAATTCACTGAGTTAGAAGAAGTTCTGACAGGTATGACTCACGGCCAGCTCGATATTGGGCCTAGAGGGTCACACACATATGATAGGCATTGCAATGAGTAGAGGTTCGGATATGAGATATCCGACGACCCTCTTGTCTTATTGGATATCTAATAAGCCCATGAATTGTTGTATCCCATAGATGAGATCCAATAAGAGCCCATAAGAGATTATTGGATAGAGATCCACTAATCTAAAAGGCTTGGGTTATTGGATGCAGATCTAATACCCACTACGGGAGGATCCATTAGGGTTTGACAAGGGACCTCTATAAATAGGAGGGATTCAGAGCCTCATAGGCTAGAGTCTTTGCTTGCCTCTCCTATTCTCCTTCCCCTCTCCACCTTAGAGTAGGCTTGGAATTTTGAGGAGCGTCATCGCAGCCCTGCTATGTGGTTCAACGCTAGAGAGGAGGACGCTTGACCTCCTTCACCCTCTCATAAAGATATGCAAGGAAACAAGGATATACGATCTCCCTAGGTAACACAATCTACTCTATACGTAGTTTTTTAGTTTCGCGGATTTTGCGCACCAATCTTTGCACGACGATGAACATCTCTTTGGGAATCGGGAATTTTTGTTTTCTTGTTCTGCTGCGTATGTGATGTCGCCCCCAAAGATTTTCCTAACATTTATTTCTTAAGAAAGTTGTTCGAGAAAGATTAATTCAAATTATTAAGCTAAATGTATGGATCAAGTAGGAGAATGTAACTGTTATTATTAAATATCTTATTTAATAATAATATAACCACTCATTAAGATTCATAATTCATTATCATGAATTTCTTCATTTATTATGGTTTAAATGATTTCAGTTTTTTATTCATTATACATGAAATCGTTATTATTAAATTAAATATTTAATATAATTAAAGTGTTTCATTATGGTCCAAATGTTACAAATTTAAATTAATTCTTGAATGTTATGAGTTGGTGATGATAAATGTTCTTGATGGGAGAACATATATATATATATATATATATATATATATATATATGAGGATTTTGGTTCCTGGACTCAATCATCTCTTTGAAACAAAAAGACTTTCCTATATCATCTAAAGCGAACGTTCCGAGTCGAGAAGTGTCAAAGTTCAAGAAGAAACCTCTATAGAAATTCTTGACAATAATGACTAGAAATATACTATTTCGTTTTCGCATCAGTTTTTATTATATTTCTATTATAATGATTTAAAAACATAAATTGACTTCAATGATTTCTTACCAGAAACTCTTTCGGATCCACCTCACCTATCTTACTGTCAACAATGATTTTCTCCTTTCGTTGCCACGAGGGTTGCATTGGATGATCCTGTGCCTTTTGTAGTAGATCGAGCTATGACAAACCTCGGTTGACTGCATATAAGGCAACAACAATAAGAATTCGAACTCCAATGATGGATCATTATTCTTTTAATATTATAAAATAATAAATTTTAATTTTAGTCAAAAGGGAACACTAAAAAAAATTCATGTGACAGAACATAGAGAAGGGGAAGAAGGCAAGCTACTCAAATCCTATCTTGAACTCTCTCTCAGACACTTTTCTATTCTCTCAATCATAGAGCTCACGTAGCTCATGTTTCTCTCGTCAATATCTTTTAACTTGAGAATAAAAAGACAATCATAAAAAAATCTCACATGGATGATTTTTCTGATAGTAAAATCGACTTGATCCTTTCTTAGTCGGACAAACGATCAACATATTATCTCATCAACCTTGAGTCTCTATAAGTGGATGAATATATATATATATATATATATATATATATATATATATATATATACACAAATTAATGCATGTTTAATTTGTTACACTGTATTTATTACTAGTGAAATCTAAAGAGAAATCATGTTTAGAGAAGTGTTTTATTTTTAGTTTGACTTAAAAAGTAGCTAGTGAAATCTAAAGAGAAATCATGTTTAGAGAAGTATTTTATTTTTAGTTTGACTTAAAAAGTAGGATAGTAGGATAGTAGTATTTATTACATATCATCTCTTTCATTCGACGGTAGGATAGTAACTTGTCGACCACTATAGACCTCGAACTGTGATAAGCGGTATAGCTCAGTCGTTGAGGGCAATGGTCTCCGGGTAACTGAGCTGACTTGTGCTTCCCTCTAGTCGGGCCCTACGTGTGATAGCACGTAGGAAAGTCACTCGGTTCGATGTTGGTAGGTGACACTCTTGTTGACACCTTTTGTTGATGGTAGATCGCAAGGGAGTTATATAAGCCAACCGTTCATATACATAAGGCATAGAAGAAGAATGTACGAAAGAGCTGCTTATCAGTCGTGATCACCCTCGGTCTCCCAAATATAAGGGTTGGATCCCTAGTACTTTAGAGCCGAAGATTCATTATCTAACAAATAATAATAATAATTTGATCGTTGAAGGATCAAGTTAAAAAATCTCTCCCAATAACCCGAGGAGATCAGTTTCGGATCTACATCAGCCACCTCGCTCTCAACAATGATATTCTCCTTCCATTGTCATGAGGGTTGGATTGGATGACTCAGTACTTTTTGTATTAGACCGAGCTGTGACAATCCTAAGTTGACTACAACAACAATAGGAATGATGAATCATCAACAACAACAATACGATGCAACAACAATAGGAATGATGAATCATTATTCTTTTGATATTATAAAATAATAAGTTTCAATTTTAGTCAGAAGGGGAACACTAAAAAAAATTCATGTGACAGAACATAGGGAAAGGGAAGACGGCAAGTTACTGAAATCCTATCTTGAACTCTCTCTCATACACTTTTCTATTCTCTCAATCATTAGAGCTCGCGTAGCTCTTGTTTCTCCCATCAATATCTTTTAACTTGAGAATCAAGAAACAATCATAAAAAACTCTCACATGGATGATTTTTCTGATACTAAAATCGACTCGTTCCTTTCTTTGTCGGACAAACGATCAACATATTATAATCTCATCAACCTTGAGTCTGTATCAATTGGACGAATGATGAGATCAAATATATATATTAATGCATGTTTAATTTGCTACAATGTATTTATTACAAGTGAAATCTAAAGAGAAATAGAAGTGTTGATTTTTAGTTGACTCAAAAAAGTTGTGGCCGCCGGTAATAACATTGTGACTGATGATGCTAAAAGACGGCTGTCTCCGAATAATATATATTGTCGCCACAAGGAAAAAATGCATTCCCATACATCCCAGCTAAGCGGATATTTGGTCAACCCGTTGACATTGACCCGCGCTCTTTCCCGCCGGCTGCACGTAAACGCCAGCTCCCATCGAGCAAGAAGCGGGAACAGCGTTCGCTGTGGGAGCACACGTAGCTGACTCGGCGTCGGGTTACGGCCCACGTATCTGTCGCATAGAAGTGGCATCATACATAGGGATTCACTGCCATTAAAAGGGACAGGCGGAGGCGGCTCTTATCCATCCCAATCTCCGCCTCTCCTGTCGCGGTTCCCCTTCTCGGCTTCTCCTCGTCTTGTAGAAATTTGGGTGCTTGTTGATCTAATTCGAGCAATGGGCGAAGCTGGAGGCATCGCGAAGGACGTCACCGAAGTAAGCTCTGGGATTCTCTTCTTACCTTCTCTTGTTGTTGGGTGTTGATTTGATGAATCGCTTCGGAACGCATAGTTGATCGGCAAGACTCCGTTGGTCTACCTCAACAAAGTCACCGATGGCTGCGTGGCTCGCGTTGCTGCCAAATTGGAGAGCATGGAGCCCTGCTCCAGTGTCAAGGACAGGTATTAACAAGCTCATCGTCTTCGTGATTATCTCGTTTCCTGTAACCGGCAATCTTTTCGCGCAGAATTGGGTATAGTATGATATCTGATGCAGAGGAGCGTGGGGTTATCCAACCCGGCAAGGTTAGAATCAATCTGAGACATCATTGCCTTTGTCATCTAACCTGCCGAGAGATTGAGACAAAAGCTAACACAATATACCTTGTGTCATTTGCTTTCCATGGTTGTCTTTGTCAGAGCATCCTGATTGAACCTACCAGTGGAAACACCGGAATAGGGCTGGCATTCATGGCGGCTGCCAAGGGCTACAAGCTTGTGCTAACCATGCCAGCCTCCATGAGCCTCGAGAGGAGGATCATTCTCAAAGCTTTTGGTGCCGAGTTAGTCCTCACTGATCCCAGCTCGGGCATGAAGGGAGCTGTCAAGAAGGCAGAAGAGTTGGCCGCCAAGACACCAAATTCTTACATCCTCCAACAGTTTGAGAATCCAGCAAACCCGAAGGTATTCTTCTACAGATTCTGCCCATGTAGGCTGACATTGATGCACATTTCATGCTCTTGCAGATTCATTACGAGACAACTGGACCTGAGATATGGAAAGGAACAGGCGGTAAGATTGATGCTCTGGTGTCTGGTATCGGAACTGGGGGTACGATCACTGGAGCTGGGAGGTATCTCAAAGAGAAAAATCCTGATATCAAGGTCAGTTGCAGTATCAACAGGTTCATGACCACAGGCCACTAAGAGTTCACTAATTTTGGATTGGTATGTTGTGTTCTTCATTGTTCCAGCTATATGGTGTAGAACCAGTTGAGAGCGCGGTTTTATGTGGAGGGAAACCTGGTGATTTATTTATTCTCTTGTTTGTTCTTTTGTACTTTCTTGGTAACCTGCTGAAACTTTGATCCATTTGTGTCTGATAAGAACTGGATTTGTGGCACAGGACCACATAAAATTCAGGGACTTGGAGCTGGCTTTATTCCTGATGTGCTAGATGTGCATCTGATTGATGAAGTTATACAAGTAAGCCTATTTTTTTTTCTTTCTTTTTTTAGATTTTCTCAGATAGTTAAGTTATATTAGTCAGGCTGGTTGATGGCTCACTATGATCACTTGTTAAAAGACAGTTCTAATTTGTGATCATCTACTTGTGTGATTGATTAGGTTTCAAGTGATGAGGCCATTGAGACAGCAAAGCTTCTTGCTCTCAAAGAAGGGCTGCTGGTGAGTCTTGCCAAATGGTTGGTGTTTATGTCAATACTTGTCCTGCTATGAACATGAATTCTGTGTGATGCTTCTTTGTTTGGTCAACCTTTTCGATGCAAATTTGACTCTCATTGTGTGCTCATTGTAGGTTGGAATCTCTTCTGGGGCTGCTGCTGTTGCTGCTGTTAAGCTTGCACAGAGACCAGAGAATGAGGGGAAGCTGATTGTTGTGAGTGTTGAATTATTTCCTCTCTTTGTGTGTTCTTTGTTCTTGTTTCACCATATACAAGAAAATAAGTCTTGCGCTTTAATTCATTTAAACGATCTGTATCTGCATGACGAATAGCAATTTCTCAATTTTCTTCACTTCTGGGAGTATTTGAATTAGAAGTTTAGTGATTGCAGCTTTGATGCATTTCCTTTTAGTGCTATTAGAATTCATATCATTGTTTCCGCAACTTTGGCTCGATTTATTTCACTGTGGTAAAAAGAAAAAAGGTAATATGATACTAATAAATGTATTAGCCACTTGTTCCACAGCAAATGCAAGATTCAATCTTGTCTTGAGAGATCAAGGCAATATGATAACGTATGCTTGGATAAAGTTTCATATCAGCACATCGTATCCATCTTTCGGTCGATAAGCGTGTGCAATTTTAACATTGGATTACCATTTGTTGCAGTTCCTTTCCATCTCACTAATATCTTAGATTTCTCAACTTTTGTTTTTTTCTCTTGATTCCTTCAAATTGATGAGACTTAAAATTTCATCGTCGTCTTCGATCATGAGGATTCAAGTTGCTGATTAACCATCGCTGCTGGTGCAGGTTGTCTTCCCAAGTTTCGGAGAGCGTTATCTTTCCTCTGTGCTTTTCCAATCGATCAAAAAAGAAGCTGAATGCATGGTTGTGGAGCCCTGAGAATTATGCTTTCTTTATGTTGGGAAGTAAAATCTTCGCACGAATAAGTGTTTGATTGCCGAGTGTGGCAATGATGGCTTTCTTGGATTGAAAAACTTGCTATCTCATTGTTCATGTCCTTCGTCTCATACTACAACCATTTCAGCTATCAATTCTCAGGCGGGACCGAGTAGTGTGCCAGCCTGAAGTTGATTTAGATGCATCAAATAAACTGCAGATTCCCTTTAACTAGTTGGATTTGCAATGCACGTTTGAATCCTACCAAGATATTCATTCAATGGTATTGTTCTTCTGGTTTTAAGTTACTTCGTTACTCCTCAAAATTGTCAGTGCTGTAGAACAAATGTTTGCATGTCAATTTCAAATTTGGTGCATAATAGTTGGAGTTATTATGCCAAGGATTTGTAATACATACCCAATATTTATTGGTCCGATAATTTGATCATGGTAAATCAGATGATACAAATATGAAAATCCAAAAACTGAGATAAGCCGATCAAAAATACATTTGAGTTTTCTTAATAAGCTTTGTAATGTTAGAACGCAAAGCTTGCTGGAGCCCATGTTCGGTCGCCATTAGCTCAAAAAGATTAAGTAGTCTTCGTCTACACATAAATAGAAAATATCAGTATAAATCTTAATTCTACCACACTATACATTTTGTTACTTCGCAATTCTTTTTAGCTCTGCCATGGCATGTTGTTGCTCGCTTCTATCGTATTAGATCTTAGAACAATGGCTCCCACTCATCATGCTAAATGCATAAAGAAACTATCATTCGAGCTCAAGATATTACAAGTGGTTAGCATGATCTCACGTTTGCATCAATGAGAAGAAGAAAAAAAAATGATCATCTTTTATACTTTCCGGTAAAATCTTTCTTCATATTTCCTTACACCCCGCTAATATCAGCCAATTCATCACACGCCATCTAATCAAATCACAGTATCGAAAATCTTAGTATCTCATATTACCACCAACTGTTTGATGAAGTCTTAATATCGAAACTAAATACCAGACTCCCTTAAAGCCAATAATAAGCCAATTATAGATGACCAAGGCATCCAGAAATTGCTGCAAATTGAAGTAAATGGTACGCGAGTTCATCTGGATTCCTACACAATCATGTTTAGAAAGGTTGAGAGCACCAGAAGTATATAATAAAGCTACATAATGAAAATACAAATTACACTGAAGATCCATACTTCATTTTAACGAAGGAAGAAAACATAATCAGAAGAGTAGTAGCATACATGAATGAATCTGCAGAAGCTTAATCTACTCTTCTTGGTTAGCTAACCCGTTTCTCCTGAAACATCACTGTGAACAAAACTCCAGCTCTTGTATAGGTTTGTATCGATGCCTGTTGATGACAATCCTCTTTGACTCAAAGCACCAAACACGCAGTTTGGTGCGATGCCGTCGTTCATATTTTACTGAAAGAACCAAAGAATGGGCATCGGCAGGTCCCCAGGCTACAGCTCCCAGAGCATGAGAGCAGAAGCAAACAGGAGCAGGGCCAGTCTCAGTACACCAACTCCACTGCTCCTCGACGCCCAATTCGCAGGAATCAGATCTGGTATCGAGCATTCCTCCCCGTTGAAGTACACTTTCGAGGGGTAGCCACCACCCCCGATGATATCGATCCCGGGCGTCTTCGTCTTTGTGAACGAGATCACGGACTGCTGCTTTCCGGGCACCCTGGGATCGGTGTCTGGGTTCGTGCCGTTCACTTCCCCGTTGAGGTAGTTCAGCCCAGGGAGGCCCTGCATGAAGATCGTGTTGTCCCCCATGGCCGTCCCGTTGAATGAGTACATCTGTTCGTATCCCCGATAGGCCGTGTCCATCTTCACGGCCAGGAACCAGTCGGCGAACTGGTCCTCGCGCCAGTTGAACAGCGTCACCCGGGCGCTCCACCCCTTGTCGTAGTTGGTGAGAACGTGCCAGTTGATGCTCACGCCACAGTTGTCGCCGCAGGGCAGCGGGGAAGGAACGCTGTAGTGCTTGATGTCCGCCCAGGCGACGGCCTTGGCGGTCCGGTTGTCGAACGGCACGAGGAGGGCCTCCGGCGGAAGGAGCATCGCCTGCGCCTTGGCGTTGCAGGTCCGGCCGCGGTTGCTGGCGGGGCAGCCGCAGGCGCAGGTCTTGCAGGGGATGACAGAGTCGTTGTAGAAGGCGGAGAACGAGACGCAGCACTTGGGGCTGGCGCCCTTGGGGCGAGAGATGTTGCAGACCACCTGCCAGCTGGCGAGCGCGAGGCTGTCCGAAGAGAGACCGCTCGGATCGGGGAAGGCGGTGGGGCTGACGCGGATGGGCTGGCCGCACTGGAAGTCCGGGTTGAGGGTGCCGGAGATGTTCCAGTTGATCGGGGGAAAGAGGACGGAGCGGTTAAGGTCGGGAGGCATCTTGTACACCTGGATCTGGAAGGCGGAGACGGCCTGATCCGGGTCCATCTCCGGCGGCAGGATGGTGCCATTGCGGCAGCAATGGGGGATGCGGCCAAGGTCGGTGTCGTTGTAGCGCCACGGGGTGAGGTCGACGATGGTAGGGTTGCGCTTGCAGCTGAGCACCTTGGAGAAGTCCAGGCTCTGGTAGTACTGGCCCTGCTTGCCGAAGATGCAGTCGGAGGAGTCGACGACGGAGGGGTAGGCGCCTTTCATGGAGGAGATGAACTCGCCGCGCGCCCACTCCCAGGAGAGCTGCCAGTGATCGAGGCGACCGAGGGGGCTGTGGTTCTCGAGGGTGACGAGGGCGAGGTAGCTGCTGCCGTAGGACTGGAGCACGTCGTAGGAGATGGTGAGGTCTCCGGAGCGGCGCGGGAGGAAGCCGGTGGCGTTGGTCACTTCGGGGACGTAGTCGGGATCGGGGACGCAGCAGGTGTCAACGAGGTTCGAATCGTTGTAGGCGGTGGGCCGCGGGCAGCTGTAGGAGGGGTCGTCGAGAGCGAGAAACTGCGGGAGAGGCACGGCGGGGGGCGGCGAGCCGAAGAGGGTACCGACGAGGGTTATCTTGGCCTCGATCTGCGATCGATCGTTGGCAGTCTCGATTGCGGTCTTCAGGTCGGTGTTAGGATAGCCGGAGAAGCCGGTGGCCTTGGCGTCAAGGGTGGTGTTGTAGGGGAAGACGGAGCCGTTGGTGAGGACGCCTCCGCCAACGGAGACGATCAGCTCGCGGTGGCGGAAGGGGATGAGGAGGGTCCATGAGAGGAGGTCGGCGGCGCCGTGGTTGAGGACAGTGGCGGTGGCACTGAAGGCGTAGGGCTGGTCCGCCGGGTCGGAGGTGAATGGGTGGATCTTCTCCCGGCGCTCGAGGACGTAGGAGAGATAGATGCCGTTGCAGAAGGAATCCGGCGAGGGCGCGGGGGCTGGGGACGGGACCGATACGGAAGCCGGAGCCGGGGGCGTTGCGGCCCCCGCCGCCGGAGTTCTTTGCGACCGGGAGCCGCCCACGGAAAGCGAGATCACAACCAGAAGAAGCGCAAAAGAGAGACGAGAACACCAACCCATCTGTCACACCTCTCTTTCTTTTCCTACTACGGCCACTTCGAGTCACACACGCACCTGCACTCCTGTATCTAAACCTCTCTGCAAGGGAGAAAGAGATGAACGAGGCAGGAGAGAGAGAGGGAAGACAGGAAGAAGAAGGCTGTGAGAGTCGGAAGGCAGAAGGAAAGCGGAAGGGCGGAGACAGCTGTAGGTGGTGGGGATGGCTTTGTGGAACGGGGGCTCTTTGGCCAACCAGATCTAGTATTAATATAAATGGAAAGAGAAGAGCAGCAGGCAGGCATAGGAAAGGGTAGAAGGATTTGGAAACGGGGACGGCAAAAGGGCAAAACTAAGCCTGATAAGATACGTGATTTCTTTTGATTTTGCATTCAATTTTGGAATTCATCTGAATCCTCCATCTCTTTTATTAACATTTTGGATCCATGGTTAATCATTGGATTCAATATTATATGCACTCAAATTCATTAAAATTAATTGAGATTTTAGGATTTTATGGTCAGATGAACAGCAGAACTTATCTTCCAATCTGAACACCACTTTAAGCTTCGAAGAAACATATTCAAATTTGTATTCAATAATTTATACCGAGTAGAGCCGTCCTCCTTCACTCGCAAGTTGGGTGGGTAATCCCAAAATAATAGAAAACCTATGTGTCCGTTGAGAAAGACGTGTCCGCGTTGCTTGATTCAAACTTCGGACAGGAAATAACAAGTGCGGTCGTTGTGGGCCCGGATATGCTCAAACCCGTTGTCGGTGGGGCCCGTCATCACATGTTACGTTCTTTTTGAATCCACTGTACCATTATTTCTCTAGCTTTGAATCCGTCGCCCGGTTTTCGTACCTGCCCCCACGTTTGTGGGACGGAGGGTCCCAAGCTGCCTCGTGGCAGTATCGACAAAGAGTTGCGGACGTGGCTAGCAAACGTGTGGCTCGTCCCTGAATTGACATCGAAAAGGAAGGCACGTTATCATCGCCATGATTCGCGACGTATACTTAAAAGTCTCCCAACGCGGCAGGCTATATATTCTAATAAGATTGAGAGCGTATGGAGGTTCTAATGAAAAAGATCGATAATTGTGAGTCTGACCGTTGGCTTTGTAGCGTTCATTTCAATATGTGGTCTACCATGATTAATATGAGTGGACATGTGCCATACCCTTGATTCAGCTCAAAACCAGTAATAGGTGAGATATATCTATAATTTGAAATGTTTTCATGATGAAATTTTGAATAAAAGTTTAAGCATATATCTTTGTAAGTACATCGATAATAGTTATTTTATAGGCTAATTATATATTACATAATATGAAAAATTTACATTGAGAGTTCTATAGTTTTGAAAGTGAAAAAAAAATCGATTTGTCTTAACAACAGTATTGATGAAAATTGATAGAAAACACATCGCTAATATCAGGACATGAAAGTGATTGTGTAAAATGGTAATTTCAATATCCCTTTTGTTTTCAACGATGAGTGGTGATAAGGGTAATAATAATGATGGGACACAAACTGACGTTGCCTACTCCCAGGTGACGTCTCTTGGGTCACGTGAACCGAGGAGACGCATGGGTCATCTGCCTCGATTTGACCTGACAGCGTTGGGTCGAGACAGACCAAAACGCCGACCGAGGTACGTCGCCATCCTGTAAGAGCCCGGTCCTTCACGTAACCCCAACGCCAGAGTCAGACGCCTTCCCGGGTACGATCCTGCTCTCTGCGAGCGGGCACATCAACAACGATGACCTTCCCTATAAAAAACCTCACGTTCGGAACGAGAAGGGGGGGAAGCAAAAGGGGCGGAGAAAACATCCTAAGACCATATACTGACTTGACCGTCGGAGGGGTCGGGTCGAGCTCTCCCGACCCGACCTGTATGCAGGGACGAAGACGGAGTGCCTCCCACCACGCTCCCAGGCGAGGAGTTCCCTCCCGGAGGAAACGATTGTCCCGTCGAGACCGGACCAACGCAGTCGGCTACCTCAGCACTCTCAAGGGTAATCCCGAAAGATCCCCGCTCATTCGGACCCGAACTCAGCCGTGTTAGCCTCGAGGCCGCGACTTAAAGTTGTTGACACCAACAAGTGGCTTGGTCAGTGTGTCATTGGTCATGGGAGAGGAGCTATATGGGGTTGGAGATCATTCGGCTAAAGATGATCTCCATGGAGGAGGTGATGACAAGGACGACGAAGGTGAAGGCTTTCATGAAGAGGGGAGGCCCACTCGCTCGCCACCTGGACTCTCGTTATGTAGTTGAGATGCTTAAGGTGTATGTGGTCATCATCCTGCTTGGTTCCTAGCATAATGAGAGTAATCGCCAATAGGATGCTCATGGCATCGTCATTGTCCTACCTAGTTCTTAGTGTAGCAAGAGTAAACACCGTGGGATGCTCATGGCATGGTTATCATTGTCATTATCACTAAAGTCATCCTCCTTAGGCCCCTCCTTATAATCATGAGAGCCAAGAAAAGAGGAAAAGGCCTAGCACTTGCTAACAAAAAGAGAGAGCTTTTGTAGCAATTTAATGTCATGCATTGCCTTCCACGGTAGCACGAGCGAAGGTGTTGAACTCCATAAGGTGGCGAGCCATGGGAGCAACATTATGTAAGGGGACAAGCAAAGGGAAGTCGAAAGGAGGAGAAATATGGGTTAGCTGTTGATCCAAATCTTGATGCCAAACCAACCATAGTTGACAAGTTCATGGGGGAGGATGACAAAGGTGCTGCAAACGTCGAAGGTGGCGCAAGCAAGTACCGGGAACAAGATGTCATAGTGAGTGCTGGGTTGCAGCTACGAGGAGGGGCTCGGGTAGGATTACTTTGGTGGTGACGATGATGACAACCATACCCTGAACATCCTAGAAGTGGTCACTCTTGCTACATCAGGAACCAAGTGGGATGACAACCACACCCTAAGTATCCCAACTATAGTATCTCTCGCTATACCAGGAGTTAAGCGGGTTAACAACCACACCCTAAGCATCCTAGTTGTGGTCGCTCTCATTATACTATGAGCATGGTGGGATGACAACTACACCCTGAGCATCATGATGACATAGTAAGAGATGGACCAAGTGATAGGGCAATTAGGCTTGCCCCTCATCACGAGAGCCTTTGCATTCATTGGTCTCGATGTCACCTCCACCACGGAGGTCGTCTTCGGTCGGGTGATCTCTAACCCCATTCGATTCCTTTCCATGATTGACGACACACTCATCAAGTTGTTCACCGTTAGAAATAGAAAGAACATTCAAATTATCTTTTTGCTTATTACTTTCATGCTAATTTAGCACTTGATGTTACATGTTATGTTTTTCGTTAATGTAATCGGCAACGTTAGGATAAACAAGATTATTTATTTTATTTTCATAATTTAACTATAGAGATATGAATGTAAATACTTTTAAGAATAAGGATTACGATGCTAATATAATTCAAATACAGAGGATAATATGTAATTATCTCATATTTCATCCATATAAAATAACCATGGTATGATCAAAATAAATATAAGATTGAAATTACACTTATCGCTTTAATCTTATGAAATTATGTTTCATTAGGAGATTAATATATTAATTATACTATCTCTATCGAGGTATCTGATCAGTTAGTATACTATTATATGAGTAATACGTCTCAAATTCGAATTCATCTGTTATTATATATAAAAAATTATTTTATTAAAAAATATAATCGGAATACAAATGTAAAACCGCTTTGAGACTTATTTGAGAAAACAAACTTTCTTTCATTCATATAGCAATATAAAAAATTATGGTGTCATAATGCAACCTTCCATTATTACGCCTCTCTTCACGCTGAAAGATCGTTTTGCGTACACGCTTTCGTAGACGGTGCCGCTGCTCTTCCCCCTCCAAAACCCCGATCACTGGCTTCCTAACCAAACCCTAACCTCTGATCCCTCGCTGAGCTCTAACCCTAGCCTTTGAAAGCGGAAGGGAGGTAAGAGGGGGCGAGAGGCGAAGCAATGGAGGATCGTTTAGGGCAGAAGCAAGGCCCGCAGGTGTTTCCCTCCATCACTCTCTCCCACCTCTCGTCCTCTGCTCCCTCCTCCTCCGCCGCTTCCGCCTTCTTCTCCGACGACCGCTCCGGCTGCTCTCGTCTTCGGTTCCACCAGCCGTGCTCGCCCGTCCCTGTTTTTGACCTCGATCTTCAGAAGATTCAGGTTCGATGCCTTTCTGCCTTTCTTTGTTTTATGGTGCTGGGTACTGGAGAATGTGGGTGATGTTTTGTTACCCTTGTCTTTGTCTTCGGATCGTCTGTTGTCCAGATCTTCAAGTTAGGTCTGCTGGAGTTGCTGTGCGTGACCAATGAGACGGGAGACGATGACCCCGAAGAGGTTTTGTTACTTTACTTGAATCATCCATTTGATTTACTGATATTTACAGTTTTACCTTTAAATGATGGTTGATTCTCATTCTCGTTGATGTTTTGTCATAATGTATTTTTCGGTTGCACATAGTTGGTTCAGTAGAATTTATTATTTCGTTTAACAAGTTCCTTCTCCGCGTTACACAGTTGTGCTTGTCAAATTTGATAATACCCTTATCATGGAATAGATTATAAGACCGTAAAAGAGTTTTATGTAAATTTAATTTCTTTTTGGCAGAAATTGCTGTTACAAAAGAGGGAACAATTTGATTGAACAAAAAAGTGAATATGAGGAGATATGTAGAACTTGTTAAAGCTGCTGATGATTCATGTCGACTTGTTTATCAAGGTGTGAAATTGAATAGTCTTAGATGTTGTTAAAACTTATGAATATTTCGGGCCCATTCTTCAAATTTTTGAGCTTTTTGGAATGACTAGAAATCTACTTAAAACCTTTATCATAGTATCAAAGTAGGTCATGAAAACCTTTATCATGGTATCAAAGTAGGTCATGAGTTCAAAGACTGTGTATGTTCATTTTTCTCAGTGTTTAATTAAAAACATACCGATTCTTCATTTGGGCCTGCACCATACACATGGATTTCGTTTACACTTCAACCCTAGACTGGCTTTCATATGAGAGGGAATTCTAAATTTGGACCCTCTCCTAAAAGCTTAATCTTTTGGGATTCCTGGGTATCTCAATTAAAAACTTTATCAGATGTTCTGCATATGCTAGTCTGATAAGGAATGGGTAATGTACATAAATGATTGTGTTACAACAATAGCTACTGCCAAGAAGTGTTAAAATATTTCAGAATTTCTATAAGATGTAATTGTTAAAATGCTTTTCTACTCAAGAAAGTACAATAGAATCTTATAAGAGTATATATTTTAAACATCGATAAGATTTTATGGGTAAATTTGATTGGATAATGACTCTATAAGAGCTTCTTAAAGGTGAAAAGAGAGAAAATAATAAGTTGTTAAACTAATTTGGTAATTACAGACATCTCTATTTATAGGAGTTATGGGATAAAAGCTAATCTCGTAATCTCACAAAGGGTTACTGAAATAGGGATCTGGAGTTTTGAAAATATGGTTTCTAGACGATAAGGTAACCTTGAACGCTTCATGTGCAGATTAGACAATAGGGTAAGTAGGAAGAAGGTCAGTTAAATTTAGACAGTTGGGTGGTTAGGCTGGGTTTCATTTTTTGTAAAACATAACTTGTTGTAACAGGTTATAACTAGTTAATAACTAACTCTAACCAATCATAATTAACTTGTACTCTATTGAAATAAATAAAACGTGAAATACTTAACAAATTGCAACTTGGCTTATTCAAACATGACTAAATCTGAAACTCAATTAGTTCATGAGGTTTAACTATGTCGGGTGGTTTTGTTGAATTCTATGGTCATATGATCCAAATTTAACATAAACTTTCGGATTGGAAATATCAAGTCATGTCCGTTGTTGTTTTTAATCTTTACTTACACTAGTGTGAACAATAACTTTTGAGAAGCTTATTGTAAACTAGACACTGATAGTTTTCCAAAAATATTTGCCATCTGTGCTAAACTGCATTGCACATATTAGTCTATTTCACTTTGGTTGTGTTACTCTTTTGTTGTATATGCTTTTTAACTGTTAATGGGTTGTGAAAATTATAGGTGTGTGCCTTTTTAGATTGATACAGTCTAACTCTTCCCTGTCTCATAATCAAATCCATTAACTGCATTTGCTTTTTCTAATATTTCTGATGCAGAAATATTTTTCGAGAGTATTTAAGATAGGTTTCAATACAAAGGATGAAACCAAAGCTTTTCATTTGGCCTTTGAACAGTGGAAGCTTGGAGTGGTTGTTGCAAAAACTGGTATCATTTATTTGAAATTGCTACAATGTCTTTATGATACTATTTTAAGATCTTTGCTCTTAGTGGAAAATGCATATATCCTTTTTTTTGTTTGATCTTTTTAAGGTTAAGTAAACTCAAAAAGAGGATATTGGAAGCTAACATTTTTGTGTTTTTTAGTGCTTAAATGAAATTTGATTTCCAAGTGGATGACCTGTGACTTTAGAGGTTATGCAGCAAGCTCTGACATGTGGTATTAATTTTCTTTGGTCTGAAGTCATTGAAAAAGATTTTGAAAAACCGTACTTTGTGTTGCAAATGCAATTTGAGGGTTCTAGACTTAGGGGCCTTTCATGTGTTACTGTTTTTTAATTCATTACAAAGTTATAATTTGGATGAATTACTAGGCATTACTTGGCTTGGTTTCTTTTACTGAATATTGACATTGACAATTTCTTGGAGTGACGGATTGCTGTTTTAATCATATGACACTCAGTACACTTACACATCATGTTTGTGTACGTGGCTGTTATTTGCCGATCTGACCATGTACCAGTGTCAAAACATAAAGATTGATACTGGTAAACACCTTGTTATTGCATTTTATGATACCATGCAGCACAAATCGGTATACCACCCAGTACTAACATCATAATGGTCCAAAGGTTAGCAAAACCATTAGCAAAACCAGTATTGGTCCATGATACGGATCCTTGATTCCTTCGTGATGCTATGTTCTTGTTCCAAGTTGTATTATGACATTTTGTTTGAAAGACACTTTGATCATCTGATGTCTACCTTTTATAAATTCATATGCCTATCAAACATCTTTGTAACCTAAGAAATTGTAAGTCGACATCTCTAATTCATAGCAAATCACAATTTTCAACATATACTTGGACATTGATTTTAGCGTGAGCCATGCAACCAAGGTGTTTGACACATGTCCGTGACACATTTTGGTATTGTTTTTCCATTGTGGTGTACTGTCATGGATGCAGCTAGGTGTTTGACACATCTTTGCATTTTGGTTTTACTTTCTGGGATTATGTTATTTCATCTTCTGTCCATTTGAAAATGTAATGAATTTTGTCAATGTCTAGATCAAACTTTCTAAAAGTGGAAGTGGTATGCAGTGGTCATGTTGCTGCATATGGTGCATCTGTAGCATGCAGTTGCATTGGTGCATGCGTACACACATATACAGGTTCCATTTTAAGAAATTTACAAAATTAATTTCAGAAAAGTATTAAAATAGTGAATATAAACTTTCTCATGCAATGTAATCACACTATATGGTTAGTTGACAATATATCTTTTCATTCAAGCATGGTAAGGCAAGTTACATGTAGTTATACAAATTATAAAAAAGAACTACTAGATTTCTGTTGGATTCACTGTTTTACCACATAACTCATACAAGATAAATGTTTAAATCCTATAATCACAATCTAATGTATTATACACAAGCTTGACAAAACTCTCTAATATTAAGTTAAAGGCTGAAAGTTTCAAATATTTTCTAATAGAAATATGAAAATCCGACCATATTTTGAATCATTAACTGTTATGCGGTCTTACATGGTCTTATGCAGTATGCAGTCTTATGTTGCCGCATATGTGGCTTTATACGACCTCAAATGTTGTATGTAGTTCACTAATTTGAATTCCTGAAAACTGTTGTACTTAACTTTGACAATAAAATTAGGATAATATACATAACAATACTTTTGTCAGTTATGACAAAATAGTGTTTCTTCATTTTGACTAAGCAAGTCGTTGTTTCATTAAATTGATAGTAACTTGTTTAATCATGGTCCTTTTTTTTCTTTCAGGTGGACCTTTAGAGAATGGATCACTAACAACTCCTAAAAGCAAATTTGATAATAAAATAGATGCCACTTCTGCCAAGATGTACTTCCATTATTATGGACAGTTGCTACATCAGCAAAATATGCTACAAGACTATGTGAGGACAGGTTTGTACAATAAGGATATCTATCAGTCATCATCTGTTGGTCTTGTATTGTGTTATTAGGTTATAGAAGGAACAAACTCTTGCTTTTAACACACTAATCAAGTCATCTTACCTCTACTTTTAGTTTTCTCATTTATGAATATTGCCATGAAATCTTTTATTTATATTTTTATACTTCTTTGGTATTTCAGGAACCTATTATGCTGCAGTGATTGAGAACCGTATAGATTTCTCTGGTCGTATTGTGCTTGATGTTGGTGCTGGTAGCGGCATTCTTTCACTGTTTGCTGCTCAGGTATGTTTAAACTTATGGATAAACTTTTTAATTCATTTGAGAACAAAGTAATTATCCTGTTCATTATATTCAGGCAGGTGCCAAACACGTTTATGCTGTAGAAGCATCTGAGATGGCAGAATATGCACGTAGGCTTATTGCTGGAAACCCATCACTTGGACAGCGCATCACGGTTTGATCTTACTAGAGTTAATCACTGAAGTTGACATGTCGGACTTTTCTATAGTAATTAACTTTAGAACTCTACTCATTTTATGATCATCTGGTTCATGATGATCAGGTTATCAAAGGTAAAATTGAGGAAGTGGATCTACCTGAGAAAGCAGATATACTTATTTCTGAGCCAATGGGTGGGTGCTTTTCTCTTTGTTTCTAATGTTGTTATTGACTTTTAGCTTTTCTCTTCCTTGGTGTTATCTGTACTAAAAACCAAGTGGACTGATCCGTAACAATGTGTATCTACCGGTCCAATTTGAAAGTGGGACATGGACCGGCAGATTTTCCCCTGTCTGTTCTGAATCAGGAGTTACTGCTCGATAATCCACCCGAACTGGGCTTTTCTGCTTGGTTTTAATGGATAAAACTGGGGGGTACCAGGTGTTAAGGCTACTGTCTGGCACCTGTATCCTATGTTTTCAAATATTTTACTGCTGACAGCTATTATTTATTTATTTATTTTCTTTTTTAATCTCTGATCCCCCTTTCTCTTTCTCCCTTTCTCTTTTGTCATTTTCCCCTCCCCTCGTCTCTGACTGTTGCCACCTAGCCTCACTGTTGCCACACCACTTTGATAAGATCCTAGGGTTTTATCATGGAAGAAAGGGGGGAATGATCACTTCGAGGGGATCGGCCTCCTTGATCACTTTGAGGGGATCGACCTCCTAGGGTTTGCCAAAAGACTTAATAATATTTCATTGTCTGTCAAAAGAAACGATTACATCACTATTTATAGAGTTCCACCTAGAGTCCACAAGAACTTGGACTCTTAATAATAAATAAATATTAAATAAATCTCTACCCGACTCTAACTGAACTAAACAGACTCAATAAACATTATTCAAAAGCTTAAAAAATAAAGGGATCCTAAGGAATCCTAACACATTTCTCCTCCACCTCCATTTCCTACTCCTCTTCCTCCCTGTGCCCCTCCTTCCTCCTGTCATTCTCCTTCTCATTTTCCTCCTCCACTTCTCCTCTTCTTCCACCACCTCCTCATGCACCCTTTCTTGTTCCTCCTCTGCCTTCTCCTCCTCTTGTTTTCGTGATGCTGTATCTGTCCCAACTTGTACGTTTAAAATTTTGTGGGTGAAAATCTTGAATGTACTCAGAACAAACTTTTTTGATGTGGATGGTGCCCGTATATTGTCTCAAGCTATAGCCCAAACCTTTTGTAGGAATAAGCTGGCTATTACAGAAGCAATGTTGGATGATCTAACTATGAATTCATCTATTATCTCAAGCAATGTTGTATGCTAAAACATGAACTTTTCGATTTAGTGTGGAGCATGAGGCTTGCAGGATGGAGGGGGATTGAAAGGGAGGTGCAGGAGCACAAATGAGCTGTATCAGTCATTTCAGCTCTAGTATTAGCTTAAGTCAGTCGATGGTAGGCAGATGGTGGCAGCGATTTATTGAGCCCTTTTAAATCAGTTGACACTAGTTGATTTTAGCTATTGGTGAAAATGTCCATGTCCAAGAAATCAGCCAAATATGAGACAGCTTTAATGGATTCTGACTAGTAATGATGGTAATGCCATCATATGTTCAATAAATTAGGAGAGAGCATTATACTTTTGTATTTGAAACAAATGGGAATACATAAAAATGAAATGTGTTTAGGAATTTGGACATTCATGTATTTGGAAGGATAACATAATCTTCTTTATACAAATTTTAATATTCTGGAAAAATCATGGTATGCTATTGTTAGCTAGGATTTCAATACATGTTGTGGATACAGGAAGAGAGATTTATTCCTTATTTGTTTGTTATGAAATTTTGAATGAAAGCTTTAATCATAATGTTTGGCTTTAGTATAAGGTGCATTTGGAAGATTAACTATGCAGCTCTGATCATTTCATGTGATATGGTGTGTGCTGGATGCCCTCAACTGGGACTGAAATTCTACAATCAATCATGCAATATTTTTATTACTAAAACAATTTAACCATCATGAGATCTGCATGAAATAATTATTGGGATTAAAATATTTAAAATTTACTTAAAATATATTAGTTTAAGTAGAACTATTTAAAAGTGGAGATATAAGTAGATTATATGGTCTGTTTCAAAAAGAAAAAAATCTAAGAAAAAAAAATATAAGAGTTTAAGAATTTTTGAATGTGATGTTATGCCTTGATGCAGCATGTACTTGGGCACAACTATTTTTCATACTCTGTGGGTGTGCTTTGCTTCATAGAACAATTGCTTTGTGCAGAATTATGATTAAACATTTTTGTTTTCTTATTTTTAATTGATGACTCGGGTAGTTTTTTTGTATTATATTGCTGTTGTGTTTGTGCATTGGGTTTAGGCTTTGCTTTTATTCATATGAATTTAATTATGAAAAAAATTCAATTGATTTGTATAATTGGGTTGATTAAACATGCATATTGGTCAGTTTCTGTGGGATGTTTTGACTTTTCTGCAAAAGGAATTTGCTTCCAACTCATTGAACCATTACATGGAACAAGCCATCAGAAGCTTATCTTCTCTGATGTTAATAATACAAGTTGCTTACAAACAATGACCTTTCTTGGTTTATGTTATCATTGATCTTCTTTAAAAATTTTCAGGCACCCTATTAGTAAATGAAAGGATGTTAGAGACATATGTAATTGCAAGGGATCGATTCCTTATCCCTGATGGGAAGATGTTTCCATCCTTAGGAAGGTACTTGAAACTGTTTATCATTCCTATGCTTATGCAAGGAACTTAAATTTTTAGCAATGCTTGATACATACAGGTTGCTGACCATGTTTTCATACCTTATCTAGTGCTGCTTTTTCTAGTGCTGACCTCTTTCCCGACTGGTTGTAATAGTTTGAGAAGAAAATTTACGTACATCAAGGTCTGGTGCATCTAGATTAATTGAGATCTGCCATAGATTTTAAAAGTTCTTGTTTTTTCAGATTGGGTGGATCAAATCATGGGGTCTTTCTTTTTTTTCCTTTGGTTGCTATTTGGACGCTGTGGGGTGAAAGTCTATGTGCAAAATAACTGTAGTCAGTATTATCAGATATGATTTGATGCAAGTCATCGTGGGTATTAGAGAGAAGTGAAAAAGAAAGAATATTTAGGTGGAGATGAGATATCTAGGTCAAAGACTCCAAAAAACTTACTCATTAAATCATCTGACTAACTCATAACAAACACTATACAGAAGAGAATCCCTTATTTACAATTTAGAGCATAGTTATCAATTCTGTACCAACCGACCCTCCAGTCACTGGGTCACGGGTTTAACCAGTGGGTCAACTGGTCAGACTGTATGTTTGATTAAATAATATTTTAAAAATATTTACGATAATAAAAACACAAAAAATGGAAAAGCAACCATAGCTACTAAATACTAAAGTAGAAGCGAAATAAAAATTATTATTACTAATAATATAAAAAAATCAGTCATTAAGCATGAGTTGTTAACTAATACAATCAAACTTTTGTTATCAATTTTCAACTAATTATGATGAACATAGCAATATTTTTTATATTTTATTTTATTAAATGAAATAAATTTCTAATTAAATAATCTTTAAAGTATTAAACACAAACATGCATTGTGAAGACACAGATTATGTGGAATGTAATAAATTTAGAGATAAAGAGTAGATTATACATTAGATTCAACAAGATCACAAACAAAACTCAGCTTGAAGAGGGGAGGAGATTATCCATTACATGAAGCAAGATCACAAACAAAATTCAAGTGGAAAAAGAAACATGCATGTGAAAGATTACTCAGATTTGATCACGTCATCCCGGCAGCCACATCAACATCTAGAATTGATCATGTCAGACTTTCGGTTGACTCGAAATGATTTATGCTTTTGTTGCAAAAACATGTCTTTATGCCTGAATTATCATACATGGGATAATACATGGGTCTGAAGGTGTTAACGGGTAAAGATGTAGTCAATCATCACAAGGTGTTGAGATCAAAACCTGCTTTCACCACTTATCCTTTTGCAAAATAAAAAAATAAAAAATAAAACTCAGTACCTTAAAGTAGAACACTGTACTTCTAAAAAAAATAAACATAAATCAACTTACAGATGTCCAAAACAGTCCTGTGAAATATCTTAAATAATGGATGATGATGCAAATTTTGTTCCTAAAAAATATTACAATATTGAGAAAGCAAAACACCTCAAGGTGTTACACCCGATAACACCAAAGCATTTTTTTATATTCAAAAGAAGGAGCAACTCCTAAAAAGTATTTATTGTTCCCTATGATATTTCAATCTGATTCAAGACTAAAAACCACATCGCTGTTAAAGATGGAGGTCTGTACATGATCCAGATGTCAAGAAGCTTCCAAATGACAATCAGACAACAGTAAACACCAAATAAAATAATATGGAGACTTGGGGGAAATTATTGATGATTGGTCATATACATTGGTAAGATGCAATCGAGTATTATTTATAGATTTAGCTCATATTCTGAAGGAGCAAAGTAGACGTGAAATAGTTTAGATCTTTATTATTATGCCAATGTGTCACTTCAGTTTACTTCTATAATTTGCAACGGAAAGTAGTATCAGTTGTTGGTTCTTCTTAGCTTGTTAGCCATTTATAATACAGGTTGAAACTGTGTAGAAAGTAGAAACTTAGTTTAGTGCTCAAACTCATGATATCGCACATAGCTGACCATCTTTAGCAAACTTGGAACATGATTTCTGGAATTTTCTTCTGTTGAAAGTGTCTGTATCACATTGTCTCTCTCAAAAAGTCCATAAAACTACGTTTTTACAAAAAAAATGGATATTTGATTTCTTTTATTTGTTTGTCCCATAATTTTGTTAACATTATCATCTGACTGCTGACCTTTTCGATTCCTGACTTTGCAGGATACACATGGCACCATTTAGCGATGAATATCTTTATGTTGAAATTGCAAATAAGGTACTTGTTGGTTAAATGTATTTTTTTCTGTTCCAATCATGCGGATATTCTATGCTTGCATAGGTGTGTCTGAAGTTATTTTTTATGCTTTTGAAGATATGCTGATTCAGAACCAGTTCCATTCTGTTTATAACTTAATCACAGTGGCTGAGTGATATATCTAGTATACTGTAATTTACTTGCAGCTGAATTTGAATTCTTTCAAAAATTTGTGAACATCTTATTTTGCATGGCTAATCAGATCTGACATGGATATGGTCTTCATAGCTTGTAAATTTTTTTTTCCTGTTGTGCATAACTTTGTTAAGAAATAGGCTTTTCCTGCAATTATCTGTTTGGTGCTTTGTAAATCTATTTACAATATTAAAGTTCAAGTTGCTAGTAGAAAATCTTTGTTTAATTAATGGTGGAAAATTAAGTAGCATAAAACAAGGAAGGCAGCCCATGTAACATAACTGTGGGTTCTGTAAATACGTGCACTTTTGGTTAGTGTAATGCACTAGTATCAACTTCTTTAAAATTGAGTCCTTACTGTGAACAGTCTCAACATGGTGACATTTAAGTTCCAGAATAGATAATGAGATCCTTGTCTGTAGAGATAGGGGTCTTCCAATGTTGCTCTCCGGTCATCAAATGCTAGTTTTTAGTATCATTCTAGTACATAGCTTGCATGAGAACCTCATTGAAAGGAATCGTTTAAGAGTGTCAATTAATGGTTTAAAACATGCCCTGGTAGGAAGCTACATTGTTCAGGCACACTTAAGCTATGCTAATGGATCTGGACATCATATTGGTTAAATTGGATATGAAATTATTATTATTTTTTGACTCAAGTTCAACATGGAGAAAGCTTGTGCTTAAGCTTTTATCCTTTAATATACTGGTGCAATAGTTTCAGCCTTTCAGGGAAGTTGCTTGTCTATGCAGGCCTTGAAACATTATGCCAGCTCTTTTGAATTCTGGTGATCATGACCCTCTTAAGAGAATATTAATTTGGGGAAATGTTACAAGGCAGTGTTTTTGCTATATGAGTTTTAGACATTTGACACAAAGATTTTTATCAAATCATCTTGCAAGTCAGGATTCATTTGCAATATACTACCTGGTGATAATCACACTGATTGATGTGTCATACACTTTGTTACTACAGGCTAACTTGTGACCTGTGTATCGAAGATTATATATTAGGATAACCTGTCTTTCAAGGCTTGTTTGGATAAATTAATTATATTTCAGTACATATCAGTCTTATCAAAAGTGACCCAGATCATAAATTGAGTTTCCTTTTTATCCCTTTGAAATATTTAATATCTCTTTGCCACTTATGCTTCAGGATCATCAATTTTATCTGGTATAATTTCTTTGAAGATCAATTTGTGCTATTCCTGACTGATCCGAGTTTGATGGAGTCTAGTCTGCTTTCTATTTGAGCTTTTTTTGATCTTTGACGCTGCAGCAATAATGTTGAAGAGATCCAGATACATGTTTATAGACAAGATGCTGTTCAAGGTTTTATAGTTAACTTGTATAGTTTCGAGAACCCAATCCAATGCTGGTTTGCCCTTGAGGTGATTTGGGTATTCTGGTACTTGTTTCATACAGCCTGCTTCTTCAGTGGTTAAAGAAGAGGCATTAAAGCCTCTAAAACATTAGTTAACTTGTAAAGTTTCCAACCACCCCGTTTCAATGCTGGTCTGCCCTTGAGGTGATTTGGGTATTCTGGTACTTGTTTCATAAAGTCTGCTTCTTCAGTGATTAAAGATAGAGGCATTAAAGCCTCATATTAGCTGACTTGTAAAGTTTCCAACCACCACATTCCAATGCTGGTCTGCCCTTGAGGTGATTTTGGTATTCTGGTACTTGTGTCATAAAGCCGCCTTCTTCATTGATTAAAGAAAGAGGCATTAAAGCCTCTAATACATTAGATAATGTAGTTGTTTAATTTCTATAACTCGATGAGCTTTCATTTAGTTTGGTTGCTTTTTCATGCATTGGAATTACTCTTGTGTCGTGCATTTTCGGTTACAATTTTTTCGTTGTTTATTTTGAGTATTTGGTCTGTTTTGTTTGGCTTTGTCATTAGTGATATTTTTCATTAAAAAGTGCCATTATGCTCAGCCCTGATATGTACATAACATTCTCTAATTGTGATTATGTAGGCCCTATTTTGGCAGCAGCACAACTATTATGGGGTTGATCTTACTTCTTTATATGGATCTGCTTTCCAGGGATATTTCTCTCAGGTTTATTTTGCTACTTCTTTGTGTAACTTATTTTCTGCTTATATGCATATCCAGGCTTTGTTCTTTTATTGATGTGTGTACTGGTCTACATTTATTACATAAAAATAATCGAGTTCTCAGAGCTGACTCAAGGTCTACATGTATTCTAATTTTTCTTGATTGTATTTATCTTACATTTTAATTCTTTCTTCTTATACATGGGGGCTTATAGAATGACAGAAAGGAACATAAATAGGAACATTAAAGAATGAATGCAATTTCTTTTTCCTATTGACGATTGAATGCAATTTCTTTTCTAAATATGCATGATTGGTGTGAGGTCACATTCATTCTCCTGGGGTGAGCTTAAAGACTCAGCATGAGCCCAAGATTTTTATTTATTAACTTTCCACTACCCATTATCTTATTTATCCTCTTTAATCATTGCATAAGCAGTAAAGCCCTAGAAATCTATCAGTATCCTTGTTATGCTATACATTGCCTTACACCAATCCACCGAGACCATGACCTGCTGACTGGTCTTTTTTTAATAGAGCAGCAACAGGTTCTACTGTACTCTAGAAGTGGAGCAACCTCAATAACTTAAGGGAATCAATCTCGAAGGGCTGCATTTAGTATCTATCCCTTTAAGTTCTAGTATTTGTTTGAACATGCTCTACTTGTATCCTACATTGCTAAAATTATTTTTATCAAATCAAGTGTGCTTTGATTGAAATCCTCTTCTGTGTTTCTCTCTTCTCCCACTTTCTTTTTTCAATCTTCCTGAACCCTACTACTGCTCTTATTGATTGTCCTATGTTGCCACACTCCAATCAAGATCAAAGGCATGGTGGACAAGGACTACAATAAAGTCAATGCTGGCATAGGCAAAGGAGTTACATACTGAGAACCAGAGTAGTTGTTGCAATGGGCTGTTGCCAAGAAGGATATATTGGGAATGCCTTATAGATGGGTGCTTGAAAAGATAATATGGGACACTGTTACTGCAAAGGAGTACTAAAGTAAGTTTCTTGAAGACATTACTACAGGAATGTATCCAAAAGATTAGTTGATATCTTTGTTGCTGCAGGAGGGTACTCAAACATTCCTAGACTGATCAGACCTGCATTAGAAGTATGGGAACCTGTACGAATTATAAGGTAATCCATACTATGTATAGCAGGTGGCAATAGAGATGGAGTAGAAATTGTTGGGTTGTCAATTGAGAGCAAGTGCATTGGAAATATGCCACTTTGTAAATATGCCCATATGAACATGGTGTGATGGTTGTGGTTGGGTTAGGTAACAGTTTAGAAGTGTTAAGGGGTGTTGGTTGGTATTGGAGCATGTAAGAAATTGTGTAGTTGATATTGTAAACTGTCATAGAACCAGGAGGAAAATGGTAATGCGTAGTGGATATCCATGAGAGTTTCTGAAGATGATCATGTGAGATGGTCATTGTCGTTAGGAAGGTTGGACTTCAGAGCATGAAGATAATTGAGACCTGACTGGTTTTGGTACCAAATTGATAGGAGATAATCCTCCTATCAGGGGTTTTTCCAATTTGAGGGAAAAAAGATGTCCTGAAGATAAAACATAGAGAAGATGTGATTATTTACTCTAAACTAATCATATTTTATTTCATGAAGAAAAATAACAAATTCTCAAGCATGTTGATGATTACTCTCATGGATATACTTCTAAGAGGTCTTACAGAAAAAAATTCTAAGTTTTTGGTCGTATTTGGTTAAACAAGAACTTAATTATCATCTGAATCTGAATTCTAATAGCTAAGCAATTTGCGTTAAAATACCATAGTTATACTAGGAATTTTGGGCATTGGTGAATTCAAAATCAATTACTTAAATACATCTGAAAAGAATTAATAAATACAAAATATCCTTTTCTAACTTGATTAGGAGTGGATTAAGAAGTCTCCAGTTGTTTCTTAACATTAAGTTAAATGTTCTTCCGAGGTGCATAGATCTTGAAATATTACTTATGAGCTGTTGCAATTATTACAATAACAAAGTTGTAATATCCCAACTGTTTGTGGTTGGTTACATGGATCTTTTACCCTCTTGTAAAAAAACATATTTTTAGTTAAAATCATATTATGAAGAATAGTAGGTTAAAATGTTTTTTTTAATACTTATGTAGTTGAAGTTTAGAAGAGGTGGAAACAATCTTTGGATATTTTCCTTAGATTTGGTGAGCATTTGGAGTAATTAAATTAATTACAACTCTTCTGCTTTGGCACTCTTTTGTATTGTTAGTGCATCTTGCCAGTTGGTCTTGTTGTCATGAAGCCACCCAAAAAATGATTTGGCTTACAAGATTTCCTTGTTCAATTGTCACATGTTGGAGTTACTAGGACTTGCTTATCCTTAGGTGGGATGCCCAGTTTACTGTATCTTTTAGAGCCATTAGCAATTTTCTTAACACTAGTGCCAATCCTGAAGAGAGTATAATTTGCAAATTGTCATTATCAATTTTTAGCTATGTTGCCCTATTCCAGTTATGATGTGTTTTACCATCTTCTGTTGAGGGCATGCCGTAGTATTTCTGATGCTCTGTTAGGTAGGGCTTGCTTTTTCTTAGGTGGGATATCAAATTTACTTATCTTTTAACCATTAAAAATTCTCGACAGTTGCGTTAATCCTAAAAAGAGAACAATAAGCAGATTCAGTTATTCTTTTGTCCATATTGTCACTTTAATCGATTCCAGTTACAATGTGTTTTACCATCTTTTGTTGAGGGCATTGTACTACTGCTGATGCTATGTTAATTATGTTATAAACTATATAGTTGATGCTTGTTGAATATATAAAATTAATGGAAATATACCTCTAATTGAATTTCTGTTGCATTAAACAGCCTGTGGTTGATGCATTTGATCCGAGGCTACTGATCTCTCAGCCTATTGTGCACACACTAGATTTTACTTGCATGAAGGTAAAAAATTTTGGATGCATATATATTTTCTTGGTTCTTGGCATTATATTTCTTAACATATTTAGCAGTCCTTATATTTGATAATGCGAAATTGAAGTTTTTTAAGATCAGAAAATTTATTTACCTGAAATATCATGTTAATTTCCGTTTCTTAATGTCATATGCCAAATGGTGTTTCATTTTTTCGGTTAAATCAATTCATTTTAATGGTTAACTTATATTGGCTTCTTGAAATCCCAAAAACTAGCTAGTTGTTGGGCACTGTTAATGTCATATGCTAAATGGTGTTTCTTTTTTTTTGGTTAAATTGTGTTATTTTGATGGTTAACTTTTATGGGCTTCTTGAAATCCCAAAAACTAATTAGTTTTTAGGCACTGTTAATGTCATATTCCAAATGGTGTATTGTTTTTTTGGTTAAATCATATTATTTTAATGGTTAACTTATATTGGCTTCTTGAAATCCCAAAAACTAATTAGTTTTTTTATCCATGACTCTTAATCATCCAGGAAGAGGATCTCTATGAGATTGATATTCCTCTAAATTTTGTTTCGTCTGTTGGTACACGGGTTCATGGCCTCGCTTGCTGGTTTGATGTTTTGTTCAATGGGAGGTAATTATACACGTATGCTATCTCTTCTTCGGAGACTTACATTGGCTGCTCTCTTTTTTATTTGTAAACAATGAGTACAATGTATGAAGACTTCACTGATAGATAATATTTGGTACACATTTTTTTCGTGAACATATTGTTTATCTTCATTTCAGGCCATATGATAATATTTTACTGCATTGTTAAGTACTGTTTTTTCACCTTTGCGAATATCTGATGATGCTTTTCAACTGGGCTAAGTCAACTGTATAAAATCCTAGAATAGCATGAACAAAATGTAAATGTTTGCTTAGCCTGCAATCATCAGATCATCGATCATTCTTGACATGAAAAGAAGTTTGAGCAACAGTGATCAAGAAATAAATCACATGTATAATTATAAAGTGAAGAACAAAAGGGGAAGGAGATTGGGTATTAGAGCTAATTTTGGCCAACTGAAAAGGGCCTCTTTATCCATTTTCTTAATTGTGTTGTTGAACCTAATATTTGACGGTGATGAATATAAATTTTGATCTGCTAATAATTGTTTTGAAGAAGTTTAATTGTAGGCAACCATGCCTAATTTTTATTTATGTTTGTTTATTATTTCTAAACCAAGCTATGAACAAAGAAAAAGACAACTCTCTCCTCCCCTCATGCTGATATGGGTGCACTTTCAAGAAAGAGAGGAGAGAGCATTGATCACTTGCAAGAACTATTTTAATTTAAATTCAAGGAACTATGTATAATCAGACACTTGAGTGATTTACAATCTACACCTGCAATCTGAGATTGCAGTTATATTGCTGATATACCTTATTAGATATGGTCCATTATATTCAACCCCTTGGAATAGTAAATCACATGGGTGTTATCTACAAAATGGTCTATCTACTAAAGCCTCGGGATTCTCGAGAATATATCGGTACCTGGCTCGCCAAGCAATCATAAAACAGGGAGTTATAATGACCCTGACAAAATTCTTGATTATAATCATCACAACTCATGAGGAGTCACATCCCCACTGATCCCTTGTTTAAAAAAAAGCCATTATATATATGGAAGTGGACCTGGCCGCCCGGTTTGGCCTGGTTTGTGTACCAGTCGGTTGTTGGATCAGTAAATATTGGCCGAGCCATGGCGAACTGGCCGGTTTAGCAAACCATGGTTCAATCTTCATAACTTTTTTACAGAACTCGCAACATTGTTGTTTTTGTTGCCTCCAGTAAGATTTGATGAGAATATTAAATTATTAGTGTGATATATGCAAATTTTTTTCATAAAACTATAATATGTTCTAGTCCGGTAACACATCATCTAACCAACACTTAAGGTTTTTTTTTTTAGTTGTAGTTGCTAATGATCTTCAGAACATCATCCATGAAATCGATGTTATTTCATCCTGTAGTTCTGTTCAAAGATGGCTTACCACAGCTCCAGGTGCTCCTACAACTCATTGGTACCAGCTACGGTGTGTCCTTGCCCAACCAATATATGTCATGGCCGGGCAAGAGATAACTGGACGGTTTCACCTGGTGTCTCACAATGCTCAGAGCTATACGATTTACTTGACTTTGTCAGGTTGGCCAATATATGTGATTCTTGCAACTTTGTTGTGCTTATCCTAGTAAATATGTATTAGAAATTCTGATATGGTTTCTGCAATATTTCATAAGCTAAAACATGGGGAGCTGGTGCTGATCAAGGTGGAATATTGCAGACTTTTTCCTGTAAACTTGATCTTAAGGAACCATACTATCGGCTGTCTCAACCACTACCTTATGTGTTACAGCAGGATCAGCAGTCAAACACAGAGCTTATGCAATCACAGGTAATATACTGAGATTTTATTCATATAGTGAGAAAATGTAATATACTGAGTTTATTCATATAGTGTTGCACCAGGCCTTTTGAGCCATTCAAAAGGAATCATGGATTTAAATACCACCCAGAACACTTGTACGGATTGATATTTATTTATCTGAGTGCCAATCCAATATACTGAGAGAAAATATAATATACTGAGAGTTTATTCATATAGTGTTGCGCCAGGCCTTTTGAGCCATTCAAAAGGAATCATGGATTTAAATACCACCCAGAACACTTGTACGGATTGGTATTTATTTATCTTAGTGCCAATCCAATCCAATTCGCTCAGTTCGTTCAGATATGAACTATATGAACAACACTCACCATTAGCTCCTTGTACTGGGGGTCTCTGATGGTAAGCAGCCCACAAATAGTGCCTCTTTTTTCTAAGTTTTTAACAGTTGTCACATAGCGTTTGCTGCCTCCTCACTGTCATGTTGCCACCATCTCCTATTGGTACATATCAACATCCAACTTTGCCTCCTCTTTCACATTTACGTTATTTTTGTTTCTCCTCTCTTCTTTGGTCCGATTGGTACCGACTCTCATTTTGTGAATTTGTACTGATAGTGAAGCGATCACTTTTTCTTCCTTGAAATTATGTCCTCCTGTATTACTTGACAAATTTTTGTGTGAATTTTCTATTGGGACAGGAACTTTCCCCACAAATTCAGGATGGGACTGGTCCCAGTCTAGCAATAATACCGTCACAGATTTCTGAGGCATCAGAGCAACAACACAAACATGGTTCCTGCTCAGGTTCATAAAATGACATTCTTGTTACCAGATTCGCTGCATCAATCCTGACATCACAGGTTGTCTATCTAGCGAGCTGACTACTGAATCAGGGCAGGAAGTCTGCTGCGTTCTGCTGAAGCTTACTTGTGCAAATTATAATTAATTTATTAATTCATGCTGATTGGAACAATTCGAAAATTCAAGCTTTTCTGAACTAATGTTCTGGAAATTGATGTGTAGACAACTGGAGCTTTTAATGAGTGGATGGTTTCCTTTTTCATCCAAATGGTTTGCCTTTTTGTAATGTGGCGGTGTTTGGTGTATTATTCTCAATTAATGACGAATTTTTGCTATAGTGCAGCATAATCACGTTGGACAAAATTCTGTGTGTGCCGCCGGATAAGTTGTGTACTTCCAGATACTCTTTTTCTGGATGCAAACGTATTCAACCTATTGTTTTTGCATGTTGCATTGTTATATTTATATTTATATTTATATTAGGATCTTTCATGTCATTAATATTCAAATGTATATATATATATATTATTTATTTATATTAAGATCTTTCATGTCATCAATATCCATGTAAAAAATAAGGTTACTCCGATTTATGTTCGATATTTTTTATATAAGTATATAAATCAGAAATCTAAAAGACACTATCACTAAGAGCTTCTAAATGACATTAGTTTAGATTTGAATTGTAGCTAACAGTCAAATAATATTTTATCTCAAATATATGCTAAATTTAGTCTTCGAGTTAATGTAAAAATCACTAACTCTGTAAGGGGCATATGCGTATTTTGAAAACATAAAAAATAATTCTATAATATAAATATGATATTCTAAAATATTTTCTTCGTTTCTCTTGCCAGATTGTCCGGCCAATAATAAAGCGGGTAGGGTAAAGAGGACGGAGTTTCGGGATATTTCTTTTTCATCCATACTACCAACTACGTTAGACGGCTACGATATAAGACTCGCATCTTAAAGCGAACAGTTCCCTAGGTAGGGAAACCATCTTCCGACCCTAATCTGTTCCCCACCTCCTTCGGAAGCCTGAAGCCCTCGAAGCCGACCCACCAATCGGAGCCATCTCCTCCAACGCCAAGGAGAGGTTCGAATCTCTCATTTCTTTTGTTCTTTTCTCTTCTCTATCTAGTGCGATTGCTTCTTCTAATCCATCTCCTCGTGTTGTCTGCGTTTTGGTCCTACGGGTAAAATTCCGATAATGTGTTGGTGGTGTTCTGAGGTTTCCATCAATGATTTCATCCGATCTCTTACTGTGTTTATTAGTATATAAATGAATAAAGAGTCTTGTTTTGTTTTTGTTTTTTGTCGATATGAGGGATTTCTTCTTTGTCGTTTGGTTCGATTTTTGATTTTTTTTGCTTCCTTTTGTTAGATTCTTTTTTCTGACTTGGATGCAGGAAATATGAGTAGGCGATACAGTCGAACCATCTACGTCGGCAATCTCCCTGGTGACATTCGTGAAAGGGAGGTCGAAGATTTGTTCAACAAGGTTTGCGAGCTTTTTAGTGATTACATTACCCTTTCTTTTTAAAGAAACTTTTTTTTCCTCCTAGAAATTACTAATACGTTGCTTATACTATACCTAAGGTAACAAGCGGTTCTGTTCAGACCTCTCTCTCTTTTCTAGTAAGCTAGTTTTATTATCAATATATTTCATTTATGGTCTTAATGATACTTTTCTGGAGGGCATGTGGTTGTGCAATGCATCATGTTCATTGCATATGAATCCTGAATATGTCCCCATCATGTTTGAAACCATATCTGGTTGTGTAATGCATCATGTTCATTGCATATGCAAGGAGTAGCTTTTATTATCAGCATCATGTTTATTCCTTAATTAAACATCCATCTATTTTTATTCTAATATGCCACGTAAACAAAAAAAGGGGGTTGAAAGATTTGAAGTTTTCAAAAAGGTACTTCCATATATTGATTAAAGCATGTTTTTGATTTGCAAGGTAAATTTTAAGCTCATGTAAATCAATGTCTCTAGATCTGAGCTGCAAATTAAAGCTACTCACTGGTACTGCATTTCAAAGCATGTTTAGGTTTCTATTCTATTGTGCAATTTGTTTAAAAAATTGAGGAATCTTTTGTTTGAGGTGTTAAGAATGGATCAAGTGTTTTGACACCAAGTTGTTGGGTTGACAATTAATGTGTCATACATTGCTGAAGCAGAAATTCTTAGCCCATCATAACAAGTCTATCATTGTCATTTGGAACAAAAATTATCTTGTCAGCAATTCACTCATCAAGGGATCTTACATGTCTTTTTGCCAGAATTGATTTTTATCAACTAGATAATGAGCGATCAACCGATCCCCTTCCTGAATAGCACAAGCAGGATTGAAACTGGGTGGATTAGGAACCAGAGGGGTTTCACAGACATCAGAGCTTAAGCTTATTTTGCTAGATCCTAGTCAATATCATGAATCTTGAATGTTTTCTAATTAATTTTTTTTGGATGATCTAAATCCTCCCAGTTTGTGCCAGAGACTTTGTTGACATTAGGTTGATTCTGTCACATCCCTGGTTATTCTGGTGGATGCCAGCTGAATTTATCAGAACATGGTTAATTCTTGACTTTTACTTATTGGTCCCAGGTTAGCTATGTCTTGATAATTTGAATCGCTTTATCTCACTGGTTATGCTCCCAAAGTTCAGCGCCAATTAAATTTACAATTGATCACCTTGCTATATAAAGATACAACTGTTTTTTCTCCTTCTGGATATGTTAAAATTGAATTTCTACTGTTGCAATTGATAGGTTTTTAAATTAGTCATAGTAAAGTTAATACATGCTGGAGCAAGTCTCAAATGGTTGCATATATTTTTGATTAATAACATCAGAAGGTACTGTTCCTCAGTTTGTTTGATTTTGATTTTTTTGGAATAATGATGGTCTCATTTTGGCAGACAATTGTCAACAATGCATTTTCTTGTGAATTTATCGTTCAGAAATAGATTTTGGTCATGATATGGTCATATTTTTTAAATGATTTTAAACATTTTGCAAGTTCTATATTCCAAGTCCATTAACGGAAGAATAACTACAAGGTGTTTCTTTTTTCTTGCCTCTCATAAACTCTTCTAGCGGATGTTATAGTGATGCATTAAAAGTTAAGTCCTACTAATAATGATGTGATCTTTTAATGCTTGCTCTTTCTTAATTGTATGAAAATTTTAACTTGTTAGTATTTACTGGATTGAGAAGCACAAATGCTGCCACTTAAGGCTAAAAGAAAACTTTGTTTACATATTTTTAAATTTTCATTTCCAAATTAGAATGTAAGGTTCCTGGGCTGGTAAATTAAACACTGCAGAATGTCAGGTGATAACTTAGTATATCTTAAAATGATCAGTGAACAAAAACTAAATCCAGAGCACATGAGTCTAAACTAGGGTTTTTAATTTCGAATGATACCGCCCGTATCGGGCGGTACGTACCGGTCCGTCAGCAGACCGGTATGCGGACCGTCCACTACCTGGTAGTATCGTCGATTAGGGATGTTTCCGCCCTGTTACCATCCGAAATCGAACGGTGACGGTTGATTTCGACCATTGCCGCTCGCTATCGGGCGGTATTAGCCGAGGGAGAAGAAAGAAGAGGGAGAAGAAAAGGGAGAACCTGAAGATCTGACGTCGCTCTCCTTTGACGATCCCGATCTGTCGCCGCCCTCCCTTGCCGGACGTCGCAGATGAGATGTCGCCTCCTTCTCGTCTGAGGTGATGAGGCCTCGGCGTTGTTGGCAACTTCTCCTAATCCACGTGAGGCCTCATCACCTCATCAACTTCTGAGGTGATGAGGCCTCGGCATTGTTGGCAACTTCTCCTAATCCACGTGAGGCCTCATCACCTCATCAACTTCTGAGGTGATGAGGCCTCGGCGTCGTTGGCGTGGGGAGAAGAAACCTCGGCGACGTCACCACTTTTTTTT